GAAGCCCTACCTATCATATATAAGCCCCCTCCTATTTGAGCAAATACAACCTAACATTGCCTCACAAGCACTGAACTTGCTCTTCCATCTGCCGCATATTTCCTCCTATTGCCGATAATATTGCCCAAGTCCTACCACCTCACCATTTTCTTTACTTACCTTCAAATCTTTCAATAAAACTACTTCAACCTTCCTTTTAGCCAATTGCTTCAACACTCAGGGGTGTTTAAAACAAATATTTGTTACTTTCAGGTGACAGATCTCCAGAAATTCTTCAACCTATCTACAACTACTCTTCAGAATCAAAATTAAGAGGTTTACATTTTTCTGCTTTCTTATTCGCTATTTTTTATTCCTATATGTTCATAAAACTTTTGATAAAAAGTCTATCTGTGATTCGTGGTATATAAAAAACAATCAACAAAACATGTTTTATAAAATTTTGGATCATTCAGTGAGAACATAACAGCATGACCAACTTCTACTAAGTTTTTTTTTTTTTAGATCTGTCATTTTGTTAGGGAGTATCATAACAAGTTCATGGATCAATGACTCATTCTAAGAGGAATGTTCCAATTTATCGTTTACAATACTAGTTTTGATGCCAATCCTTGATATAACAATTTTAGTTTAAAATTAGTTTTCAATTAAATTAGTTTTCAAATAAACTCGGATTGCAAGCTCATTGGCGAATCGAGTTTCAGCCGACTCGGCTCACTTACACCCCTAGTTTGTATGGATTAGTTTTGTTGTTTGGTGGATTTTATTTTCATCTAATTTTTGCTTTTTTGTTGATATTTTATTCATCAATAATGTTATTTGACCTTTTTTTTTTTCTTATAAGTTGATGCTTTGTTTTCGTGCACACTCACAAGCAAGATTTCACATGGTTGTTTCTTTGTTTATCATTCCTTTTTTTTTCACAGATGGAAATCTCCCTAACAATTAAGAATACTGATGGCAAAACAGTCAGCACATCAATTAAAATTACAGACAATGAGAAGGTAAGTTGGATAAACTATATCAATCTTAAAAAATTTCTTTGGCATTTGACAAAATAATCTTATTTTTCTGATTTTATTTTCTTTGATCTTCATCAAATATAGATGCAGATTTTCGTGAAGACCCTTCAAGGGAATAAATTTGCTCTCCAGGTGGAGCCATCAGAAACCATATGCAATATAAAGACGATGATCAAGGACAAAAAAGGTTTTCCTACAGATCAGCAGAGGCTAATCTATGCTGGAAGGGAGCTGCAAGATGATCGCACTCTATCGTATTACAAAATCCAGAAGAACTACACCCTTTACCTAGTACTCCGACAGCAAGGTTGATGCTGACATCAGAGAACTAATGTCCTGGAGAAAGATAGCTATTTATTTTGATTATGAAATGTTTATTTGAATTTGGTTTATTAGTGAGAATGGCATGTTTGGGCCACAGAACTTGGTTGATGTGTGATGTTTCATCGTGTTTGGGTCACATAACTAATTATTTCCATCTTGGTTGATGTGTGATGTTGTTTTGTGTGATTGGATATGATTGATTATGTGATCATTTTCTATGATTTGTGATGGACATATTAGATTACTTCTAAGTTAAGGGTGATCTAGATGTTAATTCAATTTGACAATAAATTTCCTTAAATTGGAGTTTTGATTGTCCCAAGTTTAATTCTGCAAATTTTCAATTTAGATTTGCATCAAGTTTTGTGCCCAATCACGACAATTTTTTGGTGACATATCAATTAATCCCATTTTTGGATGTCAAAGCTTACAGAAACAGAAGTGTCGAAGCTTTGGAAAAATTGTCGATGTGAATTACAATTTTAGACAAATTACGAGGCTCAACTGCTCCATGAGTGTCAACGTCGACCTCTCCTCAGGGTTGTTAACCAAGTAAAATGTCATTGGTCATGATTTTCACATTTATTGAAGTTGGCGGGCAGATTGGATAAAAAATATCACAAAATTGAGCTCCAAAACTCTTTTGGTTGCTCTAACCAAGTAAAATATCATAAATTACTTTGTGGATAATAACATTTTAAAGTTCAACATTTCCTCATTTTGGAATTCCTACAACAAAAATAAAATAATTAACAAATATTTAAAAATAAAAAAAGGGAGGAGAGGGCTTAGGGTGATTGAATGCGGTGATGGGCAATGACAAGCTACATGAGTTAGGGTGAGGGATGAATGAGAGAGAGAGAAGGGGATATTGTTTGGTGTGGAGGGGAAGAAGAACATGTGGACTAAGGTTAGCCATGAGGGGAGCCGAGGAGGAGTCTGCTTGATTTACCTAATCATTTGCCATTGAGCCACACGATAAAGAGCTTGAGGACCGTCACTCCCTTGTAGACTATAACATATAGAAAGGGTCTACGCTCCACCTCATTCTCCGCCTCCGTGGTGGGTTGTAAGTATTCGGCTCATGCTCATGGTTGCTAAGCTTGTGGTCAAGGTATCTCATAGCGGAGAGTACGTCTATCTGATAAATCAAATATATAAAAATTTCTTAGTTGAAACCAATTCTAAGAAAAATCGTTCTCCTCATCCTTATCATTGCCACGTTAGTTAGATCCCGTTATGAGATGGTGGAGATGAATTTTGAGGAAGATGATAAAGATAATTGGAAGGAAAAAATATTCTCCTTAATTTTGTATTATAAATTTTGTATAATATTTATAGATATAGATTGATAAATAAAAAGGAATGTGAATTAACACTCATAATGAATATAAATTTAATAAATAGACTATATAAAAAAGAAATCAAAATGAAAGGAAATTAACACCCATGATAAATGTCAATTTAATGCGTACTAAAAAAAGAGAATGTTAATTAACACCACCAATGAATCAATTTAATACATAGATAAAATGTTAAAAATAAAAGGAAAGTGAAATAATATCCGTAATAAATGTCCATTTAACACAATGAACAAAATAAAGAAACCAATAATAAAAAAAATGTTTTAATTTATATTTTCAATATGTCCCGTCCAATTGGTGTCAAGATGGAGGCATATTAGATGATACCAATCCTGACATTGGTAACACCACCGCCAAATGAAATAAGATACGCAAATAATAGTTTTGCACCTTGTCTCGAACAATTTTTTTACCTTAATTTTTAGAATTGTTGCGTCCTTAAGTATTTGCGGCGGTAGAAAAATATATAGTTTAATGTCTTAACGTTATATGAAGATCCAGCATACAATTAGATAAGTGAGAGGGTGCAGCGTTCATAAGAGACATCAGAGTTTTTACATGGAAACCCCTGAAAAGGGGAAAAAAACCACGGGTTTGGCCTAATTTGAATGAATCTACTAGTATTTGCAGTCGATTACAAAAGAGGTCCTTCCTTTGGAAAATGTCTTGGCTTGATGTCATAAATGTACATCATATAGAGTGAATTACATGGTGGGAGTTACAATAATCAACATAGATATGTTTGTTTGGTCGGCACGACCATAGTCGATAGGTTGGAGGCCGGAAAGATCGTTTTCTGGTGATGGAGGTCGGAAGGACCATTGTAGGCGACGAAGGTCAGAAGGATCATAATCAGCAGGAGACCGGGGTCAAAAATACCATTGTCTGGTGATGGAGGTTGGAAGGACCATTGTAGGTGACGGGGGTCAGAAGAATCGTAGTCGGCAGGAGACCGGGGTCTGAAAGACCGTAGTAGGAGGGCGGTACTTTGGGAGAACTTTCGGCGTCAAGTGGTGGCCCAGCAGAAGTTCGGGCCTCGAGTAGTGGTCTGGTAGAAGTTCGGGCCTCAGGTGGTGGTCCGGCAGAAATCGGAGACACAGGTGGTGGCCTAGTCGAGCACAAGGCCTCAAGTGGTGGTCCGGCAAAAGTCCAGGCCACAGGTGGTGGCCTGGTGGAGCACAAGGCCTCAAGTGGTGGTTTGGCAGAGCAACGACGTTAGGCGGTGCTTCGACGGAGGTGAGGGCCTCAATTGGTTGTCCGGCGGAGCAATGGCATCAGGCGGTGGTCCGACGGAGGTGAGGGCCTCAAGTGGTGGTCCGACAAAAGTTCGGGCCTCAGGTGGTGGTTTGGCGGAGTAAGGGCGTCAGGCGGTCGTCCGACGGAGGTGAGGGCCTCAAGTGGTGGTCCAGCAGAGCAACAGTGTCAGGCAGTGGTCCGACGGAGGTGAGGGCCTCAAGTGGTGGTTCGATGGAAGTTCGGACCTCAGGTGGTGGTCTGGAGGAGCAACGGCGTCAGGCGGTGGTCCGGCGGAGGTGAGGGCCTCAAGTGGTGGTCTGACGGAGCAACGGCGTCAGGCGGTGGTCTGACGGAGATGAGGGCCTCAAGTGGTGGTCCGACGAAAGTTCGGGACTCAGGTGGTGTCCTGTTAGAGCACATGGCCTCAAGTGGTGGTTCGGCGGAGGTGAGGGCCTCAAGTGGTGGTGCGGCGGAGCAACGGCGTCAGGTGGTGGTCCGGCGGAGGTGAGGGCCTCAAGTGGTGGTCCTGTGGAAAAACGGCTTCAGGTGGTGGTCCGACAGAGGTGAGGCCTCAAGTGGTTGTCCGGCGGAGTAACAGCGTCAGGCGGTGGTCCGGCGGAGTTGAGGGCCTCAAGTGGTGGTCCGTGGGAGCAACGACGTCAGGCGGTGATCCGGCGGAAGTGAGGGCCTCAAGTGGTGGTCTGGCGGAAGTCCGGCAGTGGTTGAGGAGGTGCTTCTTCCTTCCCTTCCTTCTCTTCTTCCTTGGATCGGTCCTCTTTCAAGAGGAATGAGGGGTTTATTTATAGATTTCTGGAGTGTCATGACCCGTCAATATGTGAGAGATCAAGGGTAAATGGGGAGTGGTTGGATGGACGACCGATATTGAATCCCTTGATCATACACCGTTTGTCAGACATTTGAAGGTCTTAATGATGTCAGAATTTGGCGATATTGGGCTCGTTGGATTTGTCTCGTCGAGCCGCTCAATTCTACTATAAGAATGTCATGTGTAAGAACTGTTTGGTAACCCAAATTGTGGTTCGAACGCCCCGTTCTTCACTCCGCTGAGACTCATTTTTGGTTCGTGCTGCGAAATAAAAACCGCCTCTTTTCCGGTCCTTTACTTCTTTGTTTGCGGGACTTGCTTTGATTTCACTGGTGCAATTTTCAAGGCTCGCTGTTGGATTCGCGTCGCTCTCACCCGCCGAGAATATTTCTCTTGGATAATTGGATTCATTTATTTGTACGGTGACAACTCCTGCCATATCTTTCTTTTGGCGCAATTGAATTTGTTGCCAATTTGCTGTTTTTATTAGGGCTTCGAACGGAGTGTTAGGCGCGACCTCAGGCGATGGTCCGTACGGCTTCTAGATCGCCATCAAGCTGGCGGAGGCGCTCTCCCTCCCCGTTCAGTCATAGGTACAGCAGCAGCTGGAGAAGAAGACGTGATCGGAGCGGATCTCCTTATTCATATAGGTGGATGAGCTTGTTAACTCCAAATCCTTAGATTGGTCCTGATATTGTTTCTGTTATCTTGGTTTTTACACTTAACTCGTCATGGTAAACAATTACTTTGTTATGGCTTGTGCTTAACATTCCTGGGAGATAAGCTGATCACATCCATGAGGGCGATTATTTCATACAAATTGTGGGCGGTATTGATCAAGAACTGTAATTTGGGTGGTAGTTGGAAGCCCAGTTTGTATTACGCTTGTTGATTGATTGCTCAATTACCATCGATCATGGAATCAGGTAAAAGTAGGTTCAATTTAATATAGACAATGGTTTCATGATATAGCTGTTTTTGGTCATTTTGTTGTTTTGTGAGTAACGGATATTAATCCTATGAATTCTACGTTGCTAAACATATTTCAATCTCAAGTTACTGTGCAATTTGTTCAATCATGGCAAAATAAATGAATCTAAGTTCCTAAAGTACTAATATAAGCTAGTTTTGGAGGTCTAAGAATAGCTGTTTTTGGGTGCACAGTAGAACATATATGATAGAAAATACTTGATTTTAAGTATTTCCTAGCCAAATCCGAAGTAAAACACGAAGAAAACGGCTGTTTACAGCAGAAAAACAACAAGAGCAGTGGCTAAAATAGAGAAAATTGAGAGAAATCTAGGAAGAAATCACTCCAAAATATTTTATTTCAATAGTAGATGCAAGAAAACAGGAAAAGATACAATGTTCTTTAATTTGAGAGGGAGAACAACTCTCCTAATCTCCGGCAATGCCAAGAGCCCAACACAAGCAAATCCTAGATTTCAAATCTCATTCAAATTCAAGTGAAACCCTAACTCCTAATTAAAGCAAAAAGGATTAATTCAAAATCCCTAAACAGTCCCTTGATTCAAATTTTCCCTCCTAAAGCTCATTACATTAAGTGCTTGGGCCCACAAGGGCTGTCCCCCCCCCCCCCCCCCCCCCCCCCCCCTTCGCCTCCCCCCCCCCCCCCCACCTGATCTGGTTTCCGCTCCCCTTAGCCTGCCTGGAGTAGAAGAGGACCGATCCTTGCTGGATTGGTCCATCCAACCCCTCCTGGACCGGCGGCATAATAATACTCTCCTCCCAAAGACTCACCTTGTCCTCAAGGTGAAAGGAAGGGAATTGCTCTTTCATTCTTTCCATTGGCTCCCAAGTAGCCTCGAAATCGGAAAGGCCCCTTCATTTAATCAGCACTTCTTTGTTGCCTTCTTTATCAGATCTTACTCCTGTAAGCTCTTGTGGCTATAGTATTACTTCCAATTCCTCAGTCAGTGTCACTGGTAAATCCGTACTAGCTGCATGCTCGTCAATAGCTCTCCTTAACTGTGATACTTGAAAAAATGGATGAATGGTAGCTGATGGGGGCAACTTCAGTCGGTACGCCACTACTCCGATTTTGTCCAACACTTCATAGAGGCCGAAGTACCTTGGTGCTAATTTCTCATTCCTCCTCTTCGCCAATCTCCTATGCCTGTATGGTCGTAGTTTTAGAAATACCTTCTCCCCACTTCAAACTATATGCCCCTCCCGTATGAGTCTGCCTGCCTCTTCATGATATGTTGTACTCTCAGGAAATGTTTCTTTAGCTCTTCCAGCACCTTATCCCTTTCCTCCAGGTACTGCTCTACTGAAGAAATGGGTGTACTTCCTCTCCCATAGTGCACTAGGTGTGGGGGCTCCCTTCCATAAAGCACTCTAAAGAGGGTCATCTGAGAGAAAGAATTGTACGACGTATTATACCAATATCTGCCCATGACAGCCACTTTGCCCACATCCGCGGTGTTTCAGAAGCAAAACACCTCAGATAGGTTTCCAAACTTTGGTTTACCACCTCTGTTTGCCCGTCAGTATGTCGATGGTAGGCAGTGCTTCTATTTAGGATCGTGCCTTGCATTCTAAATAGTTCCCTCCAAAACTGGCTGAGGAACACTTTGTCTCGATCAGACACAATCGATTCAGGAATCCCATGCAGTCTAACAACCTTCCTGATAAATGCGGATGCTACGGACACAATAATGTAGGGGTGTCGTAAGAGGATGAAATGTCAACCCAAAAGATAAAGCTGCCACTTCTGAATTGTCAAGACAATGACCATCAACTCCCTCTCATATAATGACTTCAGTCTTGCCCTAGTTGACAGCACTTGACTGAAATATGCTACAGGACTGTAGTTCTGCATCAATACTGCCCCAAGTCCATATCCTAATGCATCCGTCTCTACCACAAAGGTCTGATTGAAATTTGGGAGAGCTAAAACTGGTACTGTCGTCATGGCCTCTTTCAATTTCTCAAAGGCCCGAGTTGCTGCCTCTCCCCATAGGAAGTTGTCCTTCTTCAGCTGCTCAGTCAAACGACCACGCAATGGAGCTGTACCCCTTCACGAATCGCCGGTAGTACCCAGTCAAATCTAGAAAACCCCTCAGCTCCCTTATGTTCCTAGGCCTTGGCCACTTCTGCATTGCCTCAATTTTACTCAGATATGCCGCCACTCCTTGGCACACCACATGTCCCAAGTACTCCACACTTTTCTGAGCAAAACTGCACTTCTTCAAATTAGCCTTTAACTGGTGCTCCTGTGGGACTTCCAGAACCACCCTCAAGTGTTCCAAATGTTCCCCTACAGTTTTGCTATACACCAGAATGTCATCAAAGAAGACCAGGGCGTACTTCCAGAGGTACTGCTTGAATATTCTGTTCATTAAGGATTGGAAAGTAGCAGGAGCATTAGTCAACCCAAAGGGCATCACTAAAAACTCATAATGCCCTTCGTGTGTCCTGAACGCTGTTTTTGGCACATCGGCTTCCTTCATCTTGATTTGGTGGTAATCAAATTTTAAATACAGCTTAGAGAACAACACAACCCCATGCAGCTCATCAAGTAACTCATCAATCACCAGAATTGGGAACTTGTCTAGTACAGTGCCCTTATTCAGAGCATTGTAATCCACACAGAATCTCCAACTCCCATCCTTCTTATTGACCAGGAGGATTATAATAGAAAAAGGGCTAACACTTGGCCTGATGATCCCCGCCTCCAGCATCTCCCGGATCAACTTCTCAATCTCATCCTTCTGGATCTGTGGGTAACCGTAAGGGCGGACACTGATCGGTGTCTCCCCTTCCTTCAAAGTAATGGCATGCTTCAGCTCCCTCTAGGGTGGTAAACCCTGCGGATGTTGGAAAACCTCGCTGAACTGATGTACGAGAGGCTATAGTGAGGGAATAGTGCCTTCTTCCTCAATTCTGATCCCTTCCAATCGGTGTAACTCCACCAAGTAGCCTCCCCCTTCCTCCTGGATGGTCCGGATTAGGGGTTTGAGTTACACCCCAGCCTTGGTTAGCCCAGCATCTCCTTGGATCACCCTTCTTCTTCCCCCTTTCACCAGCTCCATCCTTAATGTCCCCCAATTGATCTTGGTATCCCCCAAGGTCTGCAATCATTTCATCCCAAGGATGACATCCGTACTCCCCAATTCCAAGGGAAGGAAGTCTTCCTTCACATGGATCCCTGGGATCTTCAGTACTATTCCTCGACAAACTCCTCTACCCATCTCCACCTTCCCGGTGCCCATCATTACCCCATAACCTCCCGTATCCACCAGCTCCATCCCCAGCACATCAACAATCTGGGTGGAAATGAAATTGTGTTGCCCCACTATCTATCAACACCACAACCTCACGGTCAAAGATCTCTCCTTTCACCTTCATTGTGTGACTCGAAGTGAATCCCACTACTGAGTTCAGAGAGACTTTTGCCACGTCCAGATGCAACTTCTCATCCTCCACCTCTGGGCCACTCCTACCTCCCTCTTCGTCTTCCTCATCTTCACAAACGAGGAGAACCTGAAGAGATCGGTCATTGCACCTATGCCCCGATATGTACTTCTCATCACACCTGAAGCACACCCCTTTTGCCCTTTTCTCCTGCAGCTCCTTCTCAGTCAGCTTTCTGAACTATCCACCGTTTCCTCCTCCCATCTTCTCCTTGGGTACTTCCTTCATACTTCTAGGGCCTGCCCCTTTTGCTGGTAAGAAAGTGGTCATAATCCTGTACGACCCCCCTGAATAGTTTCCTCGAGTCCCTCTTTCAGACTTCTTCTGGTCCTCCACCAACTAGGCCAACTCCATGGCCTTGTCTACATTCCTTGGCTCCTACACTCTGACTATTGTTCTTATCTCCGGTTTCAGTCCCTTCATGAAATTCCCTTCCAGGGCTGACTCCGAGATATGATCCAGCCTACTAGCCAGATACTCATTCCTGTCTTGGTAATCTGCCACCGTGCCCTCCTGGGTAAGGGCAAAGAATTGCTCATAGAAGTCTCCTCCCCCCCATCGGCTTGGAAATGCTCTAATAAGCATTCTTTTAACTCCCGCCAGCTCCGAATAGGCTCCTGTCTATCACGCCACTAATACCAGGCTAAGGCTTTTCCCTCCAAGCACATTCCCGCCGTTGTCAATTTCTCCTCCTCCGTCAGCCCATTGATAACAAAATATCGCTCTACCTTATAAATCCACCCATGTCCATTCTCACCTTCAAAGATGGACATCTTCAGCTTCCTCACCTTTGGATCTCCTCCATTTCCCCGGTATCCTCCATAACCTCCCATTCCTCGAAGGGGAAGAGCTCCCCAAGTGTCCCGATCATCCCTCCAACGATTATACTCGAACCCCTCTTCATACTCTCCCCTTCTCCCTTCAAAATCATCACCTCGACGCTGAATTTCTTCAGATTCAACTCCTCGACGATGAAGTTCCTCCCTTCTTCCTTCAAAATCAGCCCCTCGACGCTGAATTCTTTCAAATTCAGCACCTCGGCGATGAAATTCCTCCCTTTCTCCTTCAAAATCTACACATCGATGTTGGATTCTTTCAAATTCAGCACCTCGGCGATGAAATTCTTCTCTTCTTCCGACAAAATCAACCTCCCGTTTGTCGTATCCCCTACTCAACTCCTCCCTCGAAAGCGGTTCTAGCGGATGCATCCCATCATCTCCCTCTAAAATTTCCACTTCCGAATTTTCTCTACCCCTAAACGGGTTAGGGTTTCCTCCCCTTCCATGTCCGCCGACGGTTTCAGATGATGCCGGTTTTTGCTTTTCTTCAATCATTTTTTTCATTAATTCTTCTAGCGCGACAAATTTTCCATCCATCTTCTCATGAATGGATGAAAATTGATTTTGAAAATCTGAGTTCTTCTCTTTGAAATCTATCTTCAATTGCCCTAGCTCCACTTCCAAGACCTCAACTTTTCTTCCGGCCATAGTTCCTTCTTAGAAATTGAGAGATCTTCTTCCGATTGGACAAATCTACTGCTGAAATTTCAGAAATCCAGCCGCCAACGGTCCCAAATCGATGCTCTGATACCAATTTGATTGGAAATACTTGATTTAGGGTATTTCCTAGACAAATCCGAAGTAAAACACGAAGAAAACTGCTGTTTACAGCAGGAAAATAGTAAGAGCAGTGGCTAAAACAGAGAAAATTGAGAGAAATCTAGAGAGAAATCACTCCAAAATATTTTATTTCAATAGTAGATGCAAGAAAACATGAAAAAATACAATGTTCTTCAACTCGAGAGGGAGAATAACTCTCCTAATTTCCGGCAATGCCAAGAGCCCAACACAAGCAAACCTAGATCTCAAATCTCATTCAAATTCAAGATGAAACCCTAACTCCTAATTAAAGCAAAAAGGGTTAATTCAAAATCCCTAAACAGCCCCTTGATTCAAATTTTCCCTCGTAAATCTCATTACTATATTATCCTGACCTTTTTTTTTTTTTTTTAACTTTGTGCTGTGCAACTTCTGCTTATGGAAGCATTTACTTCCATTACAATGTTTATGTTAATTTGGCTGTTAAAGGATAAAGAAATGTCGTTAAGTAATCTATTATGATAGCAGTTTGTCTATGACCTTGATGTGATTTCAGAATAGTGGTGACAGTGGAATTTTATATTTTGTTGTTTTTCTTTCTTTTATATCACCAGGTTTGATAAGGAGACAATTTTTAAAGACTACAAAGAAATGTTAATTCGCTAATTTGCCTTACATTCTTTAAATTTGATCGAGAATAGAAATGCTGGTGGATTACTGATTCTGAACATGACTTGTTTGTTGCTGATACTACTGCTGGTGAGATTTTCCCGTTACCTGAAAGTTTATAAAGTTCCGTCGATGAACAAGAACTTCTGCCAAAGGATAAGCATCAATGCTACTTCTAGTAAGCCTGGCCTTTTGCCCATGCCTATCTCATCCTATGTAGAATTGTACATTTGTTATTTCCTCTTCTTATGAACTTACCATGTTTTGGTTTTATTAGTGTTCTTGTGTCTACATAATTATCTTTTGTACCTAATTAATGCAACGTTCACCAATGATAGGCTTCACTTGTATTTTCTTTATTATGGTAATTATGCACTGAGATTCGATAGAAAGCTTACTATTGATGAATTCACCAAGTTCTCAATACTAATGATCCACTTTCCTTTTAATTTGCTATTTCAATGTATGCAGGACTTGTATATTTTGAGTTTATGCTATAACTTTCCATTGAATCACCATTCATATAAGTGCAAGGTTAATGATGCATTCATCAAGTTTTGCAAAGTTCTTTTAATTCTCTTAAAGATTTCATTTAATTTTCTTAGTTGGACTTTCGGGGGTTTCTTTATCATTTAATTTTCTTAGTTGGACTTCCGGGGGTTTCTTTATTTAATGGTTATGCATGCAAAGTTACTCTTAACAGTTTTGATGCAACTATACAAATTATATCAATATGTTATTGGTAAAGGCTACTAAGTTATATCATTTATCTATATTTTACATGAGTCATTTATCTATATTTTACATGAGTTCTTTTATTATTCGCTTGTTTAATTTGTTTTAAATAGGCCAAGAACTCCATCTCCGTCCCCCAGCTGGCACAAAGCAGTTCTCCAACTCCTAGGCGGAGAAAAAGCCATTCAACATCTTCTAGGAGACGCAGAAGACAAAAAAGTAGGACCACCAGCGGTCTCCTAGCAAGTCTCAGAGTCCAGTTGTGCGGTCAGTGGATCACAATAGTTCCTTTGAGAAACTAAGAAAAGAAGATGAAGAAAAGAGAAGGTATCTTATTTTCCACTTAACCTATAATTTTTTTCCCAATGAGGGACTTATGCATTTTATAAAAAAAAAAAAAAAAATCACTGCCCCTCAATTTTGCTTCTTCACTATCTAGTTCTCTTGCCAAGTTGGGCAATGGCATGAAGTGCTTTCCTTTTGCCATGCACAACATATTCTTGTTAATAATTTAGGTTTTTAACTATCCAAAGCCAGACCCACTTCTTATTTCTTGAGGTCCCTTCCTATTTCTAGAAGTTTTGCAATTTTATAAATCTTCAACCATAATGATAATATTTAGACAAATATGATGAAAGTGGTTGTTGGTACATTCTGTATAAATTGGATTCATTCTTGCTTTTTTATGACCATTAAAAATCATCCAATAGCAGAACAATTTAACTGTGGCAAATGACCAACCTTTTGAGTAGCCATAAAGGATGCACAAAATATTGCTTAGTACTAGTACTAGCTTTGAATAATGTGGATATCTTGATAGTTGGAAAGATGGACCATTTACTTGATGGCTTCTGGGATAACGAGTCCTTTGTGTTTGGGAATTGCCAAAAAATCTATTTCAAATTAAAGTTTTAACCAATTAACTCATTTTTTAAAATGTCGTTTGATAGGAAACTATTGTAGGAATAAGAATTCCCTTTGCTGAATTTGAATTTTAGCCATTGCAAAAACATATTAGAGAAGAATTTGAGAGAAATAATTATAAACAAACCTTTTTATTTATAAAAGATGAAAGAAAACAAACAAGATACAAAAGATCCTCAGTTGGAGAGGATGATCCGTCTCTTTTAATCTCTAGCCGGCGACTAGTGCTCAAACAAACCCTAGGAACTTTCTAAAATTCAACAAATATTCATATAATTCTAACCTTAAACAATCATATATATTTAAAGCATACAAATATGATCTAAATAAAATTCAAATATGATCCATTTACGAAACAGCCTCTCCCTAAATTAAATCAAGTATAAAACAACACTTCCTCTTCAAGCAATGGGCACCACAAGAACAATCATCCCCTCTTTAATCCAATCATGCCTAAATTCCCACCTTCCTCTTCAAGTAATAGGTACCACAATGGGGCCGGCGGCTGTTGAAACTTGTTAATTATGAATTAGATTGTTAGGCCTAAGTTAATATCCCAGTGGCTAACCAAGAGGGGGGTGAATTGGTTATTTTAAAAATTACCTCTTTTTAAACTGATAAAATTTTTGTGAATTTTTATAGAAACAATTTTTCAACCACAACTTAAACGGAAACAGTGAAGTAAAAAGCAGCGGAAAATAAAAGACACAAGATTTATAGTGGTTCGGTCAAACACGACCTACATCCACTCCCTGAAGTCTCCCACTTCAGGTATTGCACTATTACCAATTAGTGTCTATCCTTTTGCCCCCACAGCAAGGCAGAGAAGACTTCACAAAAACTCTCTTCCACCACTACCCGGTGCGACAGAGAACCGTCATCCTTTTACACCCTCCAAGTGTAGGCAGAGTACATTCCACTGTTCACACTCTCCAAGTGTAGGCAGAGAACCTTTAGTCCTTTCACACTTCTCCAAGTGTAGGCAGAGTACTTTTCCGCTGTTCACACTCTCTAAGTGTAGGCAGAGAGCCTTTCATCCTTTCACACTTCTCCAAGTGTAGGCAGAGTACCTTTCTGTTGTTTACACTCTCCAAGTGTAGGCAGAGAACCTTCCCGCTGTTTACACTCTCCAAGTGTAGGCAGAGAAACTTTCCGCTGTTCACACTCTCCAAGTGTAGGCAGAGAACATTTCGCTGTTCACACTCTCCAAGTGTAGGCAGAGAACCTTCCCGCTGTTCATACTCTCCAAGTGTAGGCAGAGAGACTTTCCGCTGTTCACACTCTACTAGTGTCGGCAGAGGACTGGATCTTCTTGATAGATCTTCTCACAAGAAATCTAGAAGGACAAGAGAAAAGAGTGAAGTAATCACAAATTACAAAATGGAGATTCTTACCTTTGAGTACCTAGTGAACCCTTCACGCTCCAGTAGTAAGAATTCTCCTTCAAACACTCTCCTTCAATCTCCCTTCAGTTTGCACAAAGACCAATAGATAAAAAGATAATAAAACAGTTTTAAGTGGACCTTTTATATGAATGACACGAAAAACCATCCAAAAATTGCAAATTTTCAAAACTGTTCGTACTCGATCGTCCCTACGATCAAAATTCGTACGTACGAATAGTTTAAAAACTGTTGCGTACGAACTCCTTGTGCATGGGTACGAAATGACTTCGTACCCGATCATCGTCCCAAACGGTTATTTCCAAGCTTTGTTGAAAAGAAACTACAGAATGGTCCATATGTTTAAGGAACAGAGGACATTGTCCGGGGACGAATGTACAAGTTCGTCTGAACGAACAGTACGAAACATGACTCCAGAGAACATCGTTCTGAGACGATTGGAACAATTCGTCTGGACGATTAATTAAGTCATGGATCAAGAGGACATCATCCAGGGATGAATAGGACATTTCATATGGGCAAACAGTATGAAGTGAGAATCCAGAGGACATCGTCTAGGGACGAATAAGACAATTCGTCTGGACAAACAGTTCAAAGTGAGAATCCAGAGGACTTTTTCCAGGGACGAATGGGACAATTCGTTTGGACGATCAGGACTTAGAAAATTTTCTCACTTGCTGTTTGTTCTAATTCTCATCGAGGGGTATAACTGATCTGATCGTCCCGTAGGAATATGGTTCGTCCCGTACGAACATGGTTCGTCCCGTACGATCAGTATAAGAAATTTTGACTTTTAAAGATCTCCCTCAGTGTGTGTGCTAAGTTACTCAAATACAATCACACTCTCTCTGACTCAAAAAATGAACAAAATACAGACTCCAAATTACAGAATATTATAATCAAATCTTTATTTGAAGTCTTCAACAATCTGGAATATGATTTCCCTGAAATGTTAGTACACACAAGAGCCAAAAATACTTCTTCCAAAATGTGTTAAGAGAAATTAATAATCAATACAATAATATTTGGAATCATCAAAATAACAAGTTGAGAGAATATAAAACATGCAAAAAGCTAAGTAGCAACTCTCTTAACAGCGGCTAGCTTGGCCGTCTAGAGTAAACTAGCCCTAGGGATGATTTAGCCTGCCCTCCTTGGGCAATTTCCTGTTTAACAATACCCCCATCCAAAAGACCCACCTTGTCCGCAAGGTAGAAAGACGCCTCCTTCAACTTCCTCATTATCACAAATGGTGAGAACCTGAAGAATTTGGTCCTTACATCTGTGCCCCGGGACATTGTGCATCTGTGCCCCGGTTGTTGTAAGTCTCTCATCCTCCATCAACTTATTGACAGTAAAGTATATCTCCACCTTGTAGATCCACCCATGTTCATCATCTTCCTCAAAAATAGACATATTCAATTTACTCACCCTCAGATCTCCTCTATCACCCCTGCTTCCCTACATAATTTCTCATTCCCCAAGGGAGTGGTTCCCCCAATGGTGCCAATCATCCTTTTTCTTGTCGCGCCCAAACCTTTTATCACAAGCCCACATTCTCCCTTCAAATTCAACACCCCTTCGATCATATTCAGCCCCTCTCCTTTCAAATTTGACACCTCTTCGATCATAATAAAGTCATCGCCTTTCAAATTCAGCCTGTCTCTTTCAAATTCGACAACTCTTCGATCATAATCAAGGCCTCGCCTTTCAAATTCAACACCCCTCCCCTCATGCCCAACCCCCTCACACCTCTCCACATACCCTCTACCCGACTCCTCCCTAGGAATAGGCCCTAGGGGCATTTTTTCTGCTTCCTATAAAATCTTCACCTCCTGATATTCTTTTCGTTTGATTGGCTTAGGATTTTTCCCACTTCCATAACTGTTGCCGGCTTCCCTCCACTCCAATGGCGATGTTTTGGTTTGACCCTCGAGCAATTTCTTTAACATCTCCTTTAGGATGGAAAATTTCAAGTCGATCTTGTCATGAGCGACTGAGATTTCACTTATTAAATCTGAAACTTGAGTTTAGAGATATGAAATTTCAAATTTCATTTGTCTAATCTCCCCTTCTAATACTTCTACCTTTCTTCCCACCATAGGTCCTCAGATCTTTGTTAGACTAAAAAATCCGAATTTTCACCCAAAAAGCAATAAAAACAACAGTTCGAAGGAGAAAAATTGTTGCGGGAATAAGCCCAAACAGCCCCAAACTGCCCTAGACACCGTGCTGATACCAATGTGATAGGAAATGCTTGTAGGCACAAGAATTTCCCTAGCGAAATTTGAATTTCAGTCATTGCAAAAACAAATTAGAGAAGAATTCGGGAGAAATAATCACAAATAAACCTTTTTATTGATAAAAGATTAAAGAAAACGAACAAGATACGATGGATCCTCAATTGGAGAGGAGGATTTGTCTCTCCTAATGTCTAGCCGGCGGCTAGAGCCCAAACAAACCCTAAGAACTCTCTAAAATTCAGCAAATATCTTGATAACTCTAACCCTAAACAATCTCCTAAAAAAAAGATCCTAATTACTAAACAACCTCTCCCTAAATCAAATCATGCCTAAAACAACCCTTCCTCTTCAAGGGGCCCACAAGATCAGTCACCCCCTCTTTAATCCAATCATGCCTAAATTCTTCCCTTCCTCTTCAACAGGGCCGGTGGCTGGCTTGGCCATTTAGAGTAAACCAGCCCTAGGCCTGGTTCAACCGGCCCTCCTTGGGCCAGTTCCGATCTAACATCATTATAGTACGTTGAAAATCTTGATTATCTTATACCGTGTGTAAAATGTTATGCATTTTTTTTATCGTAATCAGTTGGAGTAAGGCCTATTGAAATTAAGATATTGAATAGATTTAAATGGTTTTTACATCTAAAAGGGAGGGTAGAAGAAACTCCAATAATTTAGGTAGATAGTCTAATGTGAATAAGAACAAAAGGAGTTTAAGGAAATATTCCATGGCAAGTTGTATGAAAAGGAGATATCTCTTGAGTTATAGGACATATCTGTATAACAACATGCAAATGATTGCTTTTAAATGTATCTGCTATTTTTTCTTCCAACCATGTTCCCATCCTTGTTATGCGCTACCAATTTTTCGCTTCATTTCTCCAATCACACCCGCAATAGATATATCTATCCATACATTACACGTATACATGAACTTTATTGTGTTTCTTTGAAACCAAGTAAATTTAGTGTAAATCATATTCTCATGAATGTTGCATGATTGTGGGTCTGGTTTTAGTTTATCCTTTATACACGACTCTGGTTTGGGTTTTACTCTTCGATTATCTATGTTTATCAAAGGCCATGCGATGGGTACTGATTGACCTTTTGTTTGTTAATATGAGACTTGTTCAAAACAGATGAGTCACCAGCAATGCTAGTGAAGTTTGATGCTTGACTAAAATAAATATTCATTGTAGGTGCCATATTAATGCATGTAAATTATGGTGTATTTTTTATAAAGCCAATATAAAATGTAGTGAACATAACAAATTTGGGGCAAACAATTGGATTAAGAACTTCGAAAGGTGAATGTTTAGAAAATTTTTAGAAACTGTAAAAGGTTTTATATTTAATAAATTTAAAAAAATATCATCATTATTATTAAGAAATATATCTAATTTTTTGGCCAAGCTTATGAATAATTTATTCACTCATTCTTGCAAAGAGTTGCTCTTTGCGATCAATCTGTGTTATCCAAAATATTTTTGAACCACTTAATTCTATGTTTGGCCAATTGGTCCTAGTTGTTTGCATAGTGATAACAGCGAGAAATGTGCGTTTTAGTAACGCGAAAAAAAAAGAGAAGCAAATTGGCTGTGTTGTTAGAAGTATTATGGGTGTAAACTAAAAGGTAAAATGAGTGTAAGTTTAAATTATTAGATATTTAGAACATCTCAAAATTCTCATTTTCTTTACATTTCAAAAGCAGCCAAATTGGCCTAATTTTATTTTCAATCAAACTATAACTTCGCTCAAGTTCCAACTTCATCTTCGTTGAGCTTCACCTTGGTATCCATGATTGTGGGCCGCCCGGGCTCTTCACCTTGATATTTATTACTGTGGGCTGCCCGGTCTCTTGCTCCACCATTTGCTCTAGCTCCGCCTCATGTTTCCGCTTCTACACCACTGCCTGCTTCTGCTTATTCGCTTTTGCTGCACGTTCATTTTTTTTAATTAGCCTTTATCTCCAATACTCTGATTAGCAGAGGATTTAGGCTTCGTTTGGGACAGCTTTCATACTACTTTCTAAAACGGCTTTTAAGTATAAAGTATTCTAATTCAAGAAATTTTTGTACTAAAAAGTTGTTTTAAAAACAATAAAAAGCTGTCCCAAACAAAGCCTTAGTCTTAAGTTTTGATATAATCCGCTCAAGAGCAGAGGTTACTTAGTTGCTATGGTAAGAAAAAAAGTAGGTGAATGGCTACAGATGGAATGGAAATGGAAGCATTCCAGGGCTTAAAGTGATATAGAAGAGTGTGATTGGAAAACTATATGCTTATTTGAACGGAAGGGGGGTGGGAAATGGGAGTTTGGTGAAATATACTAAGAGGATGAAAACGAAAGTAGGATTGCGTTTTACGTTATATTTGATGCAACCAAACAACTGAAACAAATAATATGTGCATTATCGTAGCAATTGTATATGTTAAATTGCTTTCTTAAAATTATATTTTAAATGCAGGCAACCAAATAACCCCAAAATCCAAAGAATCCCTTAGGCAATAATGGGTTTATGTGGAAGACCTGAATGAGTATTGCTCTCTTTCAGTGTTTAATTAATCAAGATTAGTATCGATTAGTATAGATTTGGATGAATTAACTATAACGTTGTATCTATGATTGATTGTTCTGTTTTGGGATTTTCTCATATTAACCATTTAAGGGATCCCATCCAGAAATTCTCAGGCCAGAGGCATACAGGCTTTTGAGGGGTTTTGGAAATAGTTGTCGTCTTTCCCATTGCTCCTCCTGGTAGTGGTTCTGCTTAACCAAATGAACAAGTTATTTGACGTAGTCATGTCTAGTTGCAGTCCTAGATGAAGCATCCACTGCCATGGAACAATCATTAAAGTAAAGTTTCTGGATAATCCAAGTCAAGTGATTTGGATATTGTCAAGGAAAGGATTTATTTGTAGCTTGTTGATTGAATATAAGGGCCTCCGGATGCATGGACACAACGTATGGACGAGGTACGATGCTGTCACTGAATATATTTATCATTGGAAATATAGGAAACCAACATGTATTGAACATGACATTATAATTTTGTATCTTAAAAATTAAAAATAGTATATAAAAAATAAATAAAATAAACAGTTTAATAACTTGAACTCAATTTTTCACAATTCAAAGAAACCTTTTTTCAAAACTAAGTTATGATTGCAAATTAACTTTTGATTTTATGTTAGGAGAAGATTTATGTTAAAGTTTCTTGAAAGCTCTTGGTTATCAAGGTTTTTTGTGTTGTTTTTCCATGAGGTGTATTTATCACAAAATTTTGATTCCATTATGCCAATTAAGTAAATGTTCGTGGAGTGCAAATATATTATGAATTTATAATATATTTTCAAAGTTTTGTAAATGTTAATTTAGATATAAAGAAAGCCATATTTGTTAATAAAATGAGGAATATGTTGAAGGAGTCGATCAAAGTTATAAAGCCTGAGATGCTTATAATAATCCTACAATTGAGTTCCTTGAATGCTTATGCATAGATTACAACTTTGAAGGTGACCAAAAAAAGCTAAAGCAAATCATACATTGCTCTCAAATCTACCTTATAATTTAGGGGCTATTTGGTTTGAAGTAAAACTGGTTTAAAATAAATCATTTACATGAATTTTGAAAATGTCGATATTTGATTGGATGCAAAAGGAATGTAGAACAAAGTAAAAAATCAATGTTTAAAATTGTGTAATAGGGTATTGAGACTTTTTTCGTTCGTGAGGCGAGGTGTAAGCCTCAAGGCGTTTTAAGGCGTAAGCCTCAAAATCAAAAAGAATTGCGTAAACATAAAATGATAAATTTTGTATATACTAATGAGTAAATAATATATAAAACATAAAAATGCATAAGATATGAAGTGAAATCAAAATATCCCAATAATAAGACAAAATGAAATATAGTTCAACTCAAACGCCATCTTTCCCAAATCACTGTATTCTTTTCATAAACATATAATTCCAAAAATAAATAATAATGAAATATCACATAAGAACTCATAAGTCATCAGCACTGTCATCACTAAGAGGGTCTTCATTTGAATCATCAGTATTATGAACTGCTCTCTCCCCTTCCTCCTCTCCTATAGAGTCTAATGTCTAATCATATATTAATCCTTTTTTCTTCAAATTCATATCTTTGAGCCTACTATTATACATAATGTACACCAGTGAATTCATCCTTAATGTGGACAAGCGATTTCTTCTTTTTGTATATACTTGATTGTAGATACTTCAATTTCTTTCACAACCAGATGAATAGTATGTCAAGCCCAATACTTTCACAGCAAAATGCTGCAATTTTGGAATCACATCGCCAAATTGAATCCACCACTCAACTAATATTTATATAAGAGAGTTTAATTAGTGTGAAAAAATAATTTTTAAATAAATATTTAAAACATTAAATAAAATTACCTGGAGATCGTTTGACAATTGTATCATTTGCTTGTTGTAATCCAAAAAAACCTTCTTTGTTCCTAAAAGGTATCAATTGCATGTCAGCATTTGATCTTTCAGTTGCATCACTTATTAGCTGATCCATACAATGATACAATCCCAACTTTATTTCAGGGTTTGTAGACTTATTCTCTGCATATTGATACTAAGGGTTTAGGTAATAACTAGTTGCATGCAAGTGTCGGTGAAGTTGTAGCTCCCATCTATCATCAATAATATTCCAAATTTTTCTAAAGCTACCCTCTTCGCCTCATAAGTTGGAGGCAATCATTTCTTTGGCTTCATCCATTGCATGGTTGATGAAACCCATTGCAAGCTTCTTTTCAGCATCCACCATCGTTAAAATTTGTACCGAAGATCTAATGGTTGTAATGACATATAAGATACTTTGGAAAAATCTATCATTTAAAACAATCTTTTTAATCTATTTTCCCTCATCCTTCTTCGCCCAAGCACAACTCAACTACTGTGTAGATGTGAACATAGACTCTAAAGGTAGTCTAGCATCCAGCATGCTCTCTAAGGTCAAGTAAGCGATGACAAATCTTGCTGCTGTTGGCCTTAGAATTTCTTTCTTTGAAAATCTTCTCATCTAAGCTAGAAACCTAGAGTGGTTGTAAATAAACTTGGTTATTATTTTTGCATTAGTAAGGACATTCTTATGTTGAGGTAGCTCATCAAGCTTCTCAAGAATCAAATTTATACAATGTGCAACATATGGAGTCCAATACAGATGTTTCCTCTTCTCCATAAGGTTATTACATGCAGCCTATTAAGCACTTTCATTATCAGTCACAACTTGTACAACCAAATGTTCTCCAACCTCCTCAACAATGCTATCTAATAATCCAAATATGAACTCAGCATCTTTGACCTGGTCAGATGCTTCAACTGATCTTAAAAACACAGTACCATAAGGATTATTAATGAGAATGTTGATTAGACTTTTATGTTTAATATCAGACCACCCATCTGACATAATTGTTACTCCTGTTTGGGCCCAAGTCTTCTTAATTTCTTCGATGCTTTTATCATTGCTTTCCAACTCATTTAGAATCCATGTTCTCAAATTATACATGGTTGGAGGTTTGAACCCTCTCCCAAATGCTCCAACTGAACGAATCATGTTGTAATAGGCAGGTAATGTTGCAACATTAAATGGAATTGCATTTTCGTAGAAGAATCTGCCTATATCCTTACACACTCTTCTTCGTGCCTCCCTTGCCTTTTCTAGGACCATCTTCTGTGCACTAGGAGGCATATCCTCTGATGTGTCCACCATATAATGATCCATAGGCCCTCTAGCACCCCTAGATGAAATGAGCATGGGCTTCATCAATGAAAACGAATCTCTAACGCTGCGCTCACTCCTGTAGTAAAAGCCAACATCAACTCTATCCTAAAATTTCTTCTGTGCAAGATGTTTTCACGTGGTAGACTTATTCATATATGACTTTATCTCCTCCCTTATAGTATCAGGAACTTTGGAGCATTGAACAACATTCTTGTGAGACCCTGAAAGGTAATCTTTCATCCTAGTCACACCACTCTTCACAACTTTATCATAGTAATTGCATTTTAGATTGTTGACCTCGATTTTCGTATACTTTGTCCTCGACCATGCGTGATCAGTTTAATTAAGTCATGATGAGTTAGATCCAAGCTGAATTAGTGCTAATCTGAACTTAATTTAATTAAATTTGCATTAATTAAATTATATTAGTTCAAATTGGCCTGAATCGAGTTGAATCTGACTCGACTGCACTTAATCAATTATGATCAATTCATGTCGGTCACGTCAAGCCTGATTTTATTTTTGGTTGATGCCAATTTTGGGTTCAGCTTTATATGATTAAATATATTGAATCTGCTCGAACCCAAACTAACTGAGATTGAGTCAAATTTGTACTCGGGTTTTACTTGATCTAGCCTAATCTGAACCTGATTTCAACCTAATCAGCCTGATCCAAGTTTGATCCCATAACTATTTACTTTATGAATATTTCAAACCATCTTTCAAATCCGAAATTTTGATCGGATGGCCAAAATTGAATCTGTGGGCTACCCGATGTCCTCTTTGAACGTTGGCAGCTTGCAGCTCCTATTCGCATGAAAAAGCCGCTGCATTGATGGATGGAAAAGGGCGGGCTTCTTGATTGAGTTATGGCATGTATTTCCTCCAGGAGAAGGCTCCCAGGCAAAAGGATTCGGCATTGAAATCCCTTCCTTTTTTCTTCCCATTTGGATACCCCGGCCCTGGCTCTCGATCTCATCTTATTCGGACAAGGGCCGAAACCCTGCTTCCTATCTATCGTTCCCGCGTCCCAAACCCAAGAGGTCCGCCCCCTCATCTCTCTCGTGTGACCAGCGAAATCGAAGCCGCCTCCCCTCCATTCGGACCAAGCTAAACCCGACGTCTTCTCTACCCTAGCCAAAGCTGAGGCCTCTAGCTCCCTCTCTGAGTTCGGGAAACCTAGCGGGACCAACCTTTCCCAGGAGCAAGCCGAGCCCCAAACAAAACTCCCACTCCGAGCCGACGCTTCCCTCTCCCACATGACTACACCTGACCTCTGCTCGACGTCTCGAGTCGAATCCAAGCCCGAGTCGCGACCTCCTCTTGCCCTAACCGATTTACCTCTTCTCCTTCTAGGTCTCCATCTCCTTCTTCTTCTTCTTCCTCTCCTTTTCTCCTTGACCTTTTTCTTTTACCTTAGTTGCATTTGCTTCTTATCATCTTAACCTTAAAATCTTGTGAATGATTTGGTGGATGACAAGTTATATTTATGCAAACTTCATGTTTAATGTATACATCATGATATCACTGGCAAGCTTGTTCCAATGGAGGCATTCATTTGTATGTTTGATTCAATAATAGCTTGTGACAATCATGTTATGAGTGAAGTTGATTTCGTTACAATGTGTTGATCTATATTTCTCTCCAATATGTTGATTTATCTCATTTTGGAATGGACGATTAGTATATGAAATTTACATTTGCTTTATGTCATGTGGTTTTGAGTCTTAGGTGTAAATCATGTAAAGGCACAAGAAGTCATGTTGATCCTTTGTCAAAGTATGCATGCGAGGTGTTTGTACTAATGCTTGTTAAGATGTGATATAAGTTTTCTCTTGGATACTTTATCTTAGAAATTTATATCCCATTGTCCTCTTATGCTCAATTGAACTTGAAGCTTATAAAAGAGAATGGTGATGTTGTTGGCATATATCTTATAGCTCTGAATTGGTATTGAATCATTTGGAAGAGACTTTTGGATTGAAACTCTTGTATATCATTTTAGTTAAGAAAATTAGCTGTGGTTCGACCTTTCCATGAATCTCATGGAAGTATTCCAGTTTAATGCATGGCTTATCATAATATATACATATAGGCTCATGTTTAGTTAAGCAAATAAAGTTTTATTTATACTATATCAAATGAGTTCACAAGAGTTTTGGTGGAACTTTGTTCTTTGTGGTCATAGCATGACATTCTTTTTGTTAATCTACGAATAAATGTGGTCGCTCCTTTACTTTCCCTCATAGATTTTGATGAAGCCTTGGCTACTAGTGTTAGAAGATGAGGTCAAACACATGTATATTTAATATATGGATGAAAGCCTTGGGTATTTGGTGATGATTAGCATGCATACTTATATTTCGCTTCATAAGCTTATTTGATCGTTTGATATGTCCCAATGAGATTGGAAATTTTCATGTGTTTTATGGTTCATTTGCAAACTTAATTTGATTCAACTTGTTGGAATGATTCTCCTTGAGCTTTGGAAGGGGTTGTGAGCTTTAGGCTGGGAAGTTCATGAGCTCCTTATTTAAAAAAAAGACCTTTGGTGGTACATAGCATGAGAAGTGAAATTCGTTGGAAGAATTCTAAAATTCATTTCGTGTAAAGGAAAGCTTTGAAAGTGGCTTTATGGTGGAAAATATTTTGTATTGGAGAATTTTAAAGTTGGCTTCATTTTAGAGGGATTCATGATGTTGCTCTACGTCATAAAATTTTATGAGTTTTGGAGAAGTGTTTTCAATCCTCATTTTCACAAGTCTAGGATCTCATTGTGATGTTTATGGAGGGATCGAGAGAGGTAACTTGGCATATATTCATAGCTTTACTTACAACCTTCCAAAATATCATTTCCACGTTTTATTGGTTTTCCTATGCGATGAGTTCTTGATTTGCAATATCATATATTCGGCGCAAGTGTGTTCAAAAGTTTATGTTGAAACTTCTTCTAAAACTTTTGATGGCATATAGCATGAAGATGAAAAATTTGTTGGGAAATTTGTATTTGTTAGGTAGACTCAAAGTTATGTTGGTTTTTTTATTTTATTTTTATGGGAGGCATGTTTTGTTATAAGGTATTGATGGATTTTGAGGTCTTTCTATATTTTCTTGAATCTCATTTCTTCCCTACTTGCTCAAATCTCATGAAAGAGCAATATTGGCAATTGTGTTGGAAAATCTAAGTGACATTTTTGTATTTCAACTTTTGAGCATGTTTTAGGTTTAATAAAAAAAGTGATTTGGTTAAGTTGGAAAATGATACATGTTGCCATTTGAGTATAATTTCTAATATTTAGGAAAGTGCTATGGTTGAAAGTTGGGCGAGTCATTTTATGTATTGGGGAGCCTTTTGAACTACTTGGCTTTGAAGAATCTCGTGGGTTTCTCTTTTGTTGAAAGCCTCCTGAAAAATTTTGCGAATTGTCTTATGTTGAGAAATTATGTGATTTGCCTTGTGAATGTTTTATGATGGAAGGCTTCACAATGCCTTCTCGTTGAGAAACTTTCAGGAATTCACCCCACGCCAAACATAGAAAGCACTAGGTCGTTTTTGTTAAAAAGAGTTTTTGTAGATTACCTTCTTTTTGAGAAAGGTTTTATATGCCGTTTCATTTGAAAAGTTTCATAAATCAAATTTTGGGATTTAGAACTTTATGATTAGCTTTGGATTGAAAGGCTCTTTGATATCTTTTTGGAACGAAGTGATCTTGCTTACGTAAGTTGTCTTTCTTCTCTTTATACTTGCTTCTAGAATTGAATTTGAATAAATATGGCGGTTGGAAAGATAGGCTTATTTCAATTTTCATTTTGGGAGCTTGATTCCTCCTTCGTTACTTTGAGCTTTATTTAGGAAATAGTTTGGTTAATTGAGTCGGGTTTTATCGAGTGCTTTGTTTGGAACGTGGGGATATCAAAGGGCATAAAAAAATACCTTCTTTCCTATTCACATTAATGGAATTGGGGTGAAGGGCGTTTTAGAGACATGCTTGGCTTTGAAGAGACATATCTAATAATCTATTATTATTTTTTTTATTTTCATTCATTCCTTATGACATTTTATTGTCTTTCTCTTTACTTCTCGTTTTTCTACTATTTTTCTGTTTATTATCTTATTTCATTCATAGATCCGTAAACCTTTTGATACATGTGCGAATGTCTAAAATGGTTAGAAAAATACTTTCTTTTACCTCCCATAACATTAGTGACACCTAAGGACAAAAACTAAGGATCGAGTCTTAGATAACATAAACCTAAGATGCATGCTCCCTATAGGATAGAGACATCAAAACATAAACTTAGTAATACATTTTTCTATGTTTATTGTTCTCTAAACCATTAATAATCAATCAACAAAATCAACCTTAATTTAACTCTTAAAAATGCATTAAAATACCTAATTTTAAATCAAACCATAATTAATATTCATAATCACTAAAATGTAAAAATTAAACCAAATTTAACCAATCTCCTAATCAACCTCTAACAAATCTAAAACTTAATAAATATAGACTAAATTAGGAGAACAAATCTAAAATAAAATTTATTAAGATAAAAATATTCTAAAACTCAAAATCTACTAACTCACCTTAATCAAATATTAAATTAAATATTTTAAAACCAACCAACAAACCCCTTAATACATAAAAACCACTCCAAAGATAAAGTTTGTTGGATGGACTACTCTGGGCTGTAGGGCTAAGTGTCCTAAGGAGGTTTGGTTCCTCAAGCTTGGTGACATATCGTCACAAATGAATTCAATGGAGTGTTAAAAGTTTAAAATTAATTGACTTTTAATGATTTAAACTAAATAGAACTCTTAATATAATTATATCAGTTGGGTTTTTAGGATGGATTATTCCAGGCTGCGGGGATAAGTGTTTTAAGGAGGCCTGGTTTCTTGAGCTTGGTGGCACAACGACACGAACCGGTTGATAGCAAATTTATCTAATTTAATTCCTTAATTGATAATAAATCATTTAATTCACATTTCTTTTTAATTTACAACTAACTAAATTAACTTAACAAAATTAATTATCACTAGGTAATCCAAACCTACGAGGCTATTAAATTAGTCCCAAGGAGGGTGAAATAAACCTTACGATCTCGGTGAGAAACAAATGTGGTAATCAACTAAGCACTAAAATAAAATTCTTAAAATAAATTTTAAGACATTAATATTTAAACTTAAAACTAAAACATTTCCCTTTTGGTCTTTAACAAATTAAATTACAAACAACTTCAACTAAATTATCCTACATAGGACATATCCAAAACCACACAGCCTGTTACACACACTTAAACTTATTTTTTAGGGCACCACTTCTAGCTCTAGGTTAGGCCGGTGGTTTGTTTTGTTATTCAATGTTAATTACTTTTGTCAAATTAGAAAACTACCACATTGTTTTGTGTTTTAGCAATAATATGCACATGTTTTATAAATATTAATCTTCAATTTCCTATTAGTTATATTTTTGTTTACATGCATTTCTTTTCTGAATGGCATCTACGCTCACTCAAACATTTCTCTTTTATCTTATCTTGCGAGGTATATCAGGTCTTGCATGGTTGAGGATCAAATGGGATCATTTGCTTAAGAGCTTTTGAGTGGACACGTTACAGCCAGGTATAATCCCTGCAACTTATAAAGAAAACTCCTAATTATATATCGAAACTGCTACATATCACACACATCTTATTAATAGCTTTTAGTCTAATAAATATTCTAGCATATTTAGGTAGCTGGCCATATGTTAGTGTACTAACGAGGCTTTGGCCCTATCTTGCCCTCTTCTGTGAGCCTTAGAGACATTTATGTTCACCTTAGGCCTGTAGTGTAGGCCCATCTACTTGTGCTATATGCATCGCTATTTTTTCCACATGAAGTGGGCACCGCTAGGATGTTCCATTTTCTTTCGATTTTGGGTATGATACCCCTCACCTTTTATGAGCCCTAGAGATCATTAGGGTCATTTAGGCTTGTAGTGTAGGCCACCTATTTGTGCCATGGGCATCGTTGTTTCCCACATGAAGTGGGCACCGTTATGATGGTTTTCTATTGTGATGTGATGCGGGTATCTTGCTTGGAGTGTATTCTTGATGTGTTTATTTATTTTTTCAATACTCTGGGTGTAATGCATGCATTTTTATACACTTTGTTTTACAGTGCACATTACTTATATGCATACATTACATTAACATTGCACAAATGAAAATGTCATCTTATCTCTCAGTAGATATAAGGACACTTTTACTTATGTATCTGTTCCATGCATCATATATGATGCTAGGTATATTCTTTTGCATATTACAGAGTCCCTGATTTAAATCTTTTGAACTATAAATCTTCAATTCCTTAGGATAAAGCCTTCCTATCTTGCATACATATAGGGAGGTTGACTGTGTTTAGGATGTCAGCTGGCAGCTCACTCCAGGCAAGCATAAGTCCAGGTTGTACACTCAGTGTATCTCTTTTCATCTTTGATGAATTATGAGTTTGTCATTTTTTCTAGGATAGTAATCCGATCTTTGATCTTTTAAACTCAAGTTTTTAATTACATCTTCATACATTTGAAAATATTTAATCATCACTAAGGACAAAGAGAAGAGTCTCTCCTATTGGAATAGAACTTATGAACTTTCTCTGTGCACCAAATTAAGAAGAGAATAATACACCGTCCTTAATCGAGAGTTTTTCTAGGTCAAGGTCTAGGATGTAATTAACCATGGGGGCTTGTACCCGTGGGAAACCGATCCCCACATCAAATAAATCCCATTCGAGCTGATATATCGAATGGGGGAAATCTCGTAATATTTTGGGTTATACATATTATTATCCATCGAGGTGTGTGAGCAAAAGTCGCTATCCTTCATGGCTAATTGTATGTATGACTCCATCTGCTCTTCCATTGGTCTTCTTGTGTAGAGTGTAAAGGCCTACGGCCGTTTTGTCCTACGGAATAGTGTGATCGTACCCCTTTGCATTATGTTTCCTACGAGCAGAATCTTTTCGGAGACCCACATAAATACATATATGTTTTATAACTTCCCCCTACATCCACCTGAGTGCTATGTTTTCTTGCTCGATCTTTTTTATGACCTGACGCAACTTTATCCTTGCTTCTGACCATCATTTATGAAAAGAATATATTAGTGCAATATATCAAACCCCTAAACATAATACTTCACTTATTCTATATTAAGAAAACTTATATAAGCATGCACTCATGAAGAAGCAGACTAACATTAACAACTACTACTAAAGATGATGAATACAATAATATACCGGTCTACCGGGGGTCCAAGGGGGTGCTGCCCCCTGGCGGGGTTCGACGTGCTTGTTTTTAAAGTTCGTAAGTTATTTGTAGGGAAAGATACCGAGCGGTACCGAGCATATACCTAGCGGTACCAAGCATGTACTGCTCGGTACTAAGCATATGCCTGCTCGGTACCGAGCATGTACCTAGTGGTACCGAGCATGTACTGAGCGGTACCAAACATATGCCTGCTCGGTACCGACTCAGTACAGAGCATGTACCGAGCGATACCGATCATGCACCTGCTTGGTAACGAGCGGTACCGAGCATGTACGTAGCGGTACCAAACATTGTTGTACCGAGTGGTGTCGAGCATATACCTAGCGGTCTCAATGTGGAAGGAAGCGGATGTCGAAAGAAGAGAGAAAAAGGTCGCAGTATAAGATAACTCCAACCCAACTCGCGGTAGAAGATAATTCCAAGCAATAAGCAAAGAGCAACTAAATGTGGAAGGAAGCCGACGCTGAACGAAGAGGGAAAAAGGTCGCTCGAAAAAGAAGGGAGAAAATCTATTTTCGGGAAATGACGGAATACTGCTCGGGGGTTGGGGTGTCCGAAACCGAACAAATATATATTAGGTTAGCTTTTTTTTTAAAAAAAAAAAAATTTAGAGGCGGACGCCTCTCAACCGTGAGGCGTACGCCTCAAATACTGAACTCATAGCGTAGGATTTGAGGCTTAAAAGGGCGAAATTGCGCTGAGGCGCGCCTCTTATTGCGCAATTTTAAACCCTGGTAAAAAGAATGCAGTGTAAAGTGTTTTAGTTCATTTTTGAGGTAATGTAATTTTGAACATTTTTTAGCAAAATCAGTTTTCATCGCAAGAAACCTTTTTTGTCACCACTCGATGTTCCACCCAATGCCGCCACCATCGTTAAACTTTACATGCATTTACTTTACTATAAATAATAATAAAAAAAAAAACACATGTATTTATTTTACATACATCGAAATAATACCAATTTATTCCTTTTACATTGTATTTCTTTTACTTTGCATCCTTTTTCAGCTAACCAAATAACCTCTTAAACAAATCATAACTTGCTCTCAAATCTACCCAAGAATTTAAGCAAATCATGCCTTGCAAATTTATCCTAGAATTTAAGCAAACTATAAATATAAAATTAAATGTATAGGAACAACATAAACAACAAGCCTTTATCCCATTAAATTAAAGGTCTAAGAAAATGAACGAAAAAAGGCATGTAAGTTAAAATCCTATTGTCTCATGTGGGCCCGTAGATGGACTCGGGTTCAAGCAAGTGGGTAGATGCAAGAGTTAACATATTGACAACTTGGTTTGTAGTTCACACAATCCTAAACCCTTGTCGTGTGAGATTATAGAAATGAATTAAGTAATGGAATAAAAGTAATTAAATTTTGTTTTTTTTTTTTAAATTTGTTATTATTTGGACACATGTATCTAATATTTGTTTTTATAATTTTTTAATATTGACACTTGCTAGCCATCTTACATGCGTGTTGGGCACATGTTTGAGTTTGACATATGTTGAACATTTGCGTAACCCTAAAATTCTGAGTCTGAGAGTATTATAGATGGTAGTGTTGGTAGTGTCAGCACCATTATTAATCATCTTCTTGGAGCTGTGATCTTGAAAGATTGAATGAAAAAGGATAAAATGTTACCAAACAATTGAATTTTATTAAGACAATAAGTAGGAAAAAGGTTAATATAAAATTATGGAAGATAAATAATATACAAAAAAAAAGAAAGCTTTGGAATATGCACAATGCCCCTTCCAAAAATAGGGTAAGAGAACCCATCAATGATAAGGACATGCGGCAGAGTTGACATAAAGAGATGAAAATAGTTGGTGGTTATGTTCCATATGAAAAGATGAACCAAAATTTAAAATCCGGGATATACTAGCAAAGATAAGGACAATGGATCCAAAAGGAAGGGGGTAATATTAGGGGCAAAGACAAATGTATGGGTTAGTGATTTATAATATCCTTGAGAATAGTAACTGATTCGAAGGAGGCATCATACTAATTTGGCATATTTGGATCAAATGTGAAAGCATTTTGAGCTTTGAAGAAGTAACTGAATTTCTCCTAGCAACTTTCCATAGGATAGTAGCGTGGATGCAATACGAGCAAGGAGAAAAAGTATGATGACCGTAACACAACCACCATTGGTCTTACTGCCATGTCCATGAGTTTTCCTCTCTATCCTAAAGACAAAAACCAAAGCTCATTGACCAGGAGTTGGTGTTAGGGGAGTTGAGATCTCAGTGACATAAATAACTTTGAATAAAGTGGTTACAATATTATGATTCATGTAGTCTGACATTTATTGAGACTGCACTGTTTATAGAGAATTATTCAAAACATGGATCAATATATCAACAAGAACCATTTCATTTTGCTTCTTTGAAGAGCTGGTGTAGTTGTGAAGGATCGACTTTGAAGTAATTTATTCCATTTGCTTCTCATATTGCTATAACATTCTTAAATATGCATGATATTTTATTAGAGGGAGATCTCACTAATTAGTGTAAATATGTGAGATATTTCTTCTAGTAAGTAGATGGAACCAAGAAAGTCCATCTTATTTAAGTCTTGAAATATTATAGTTAAGGTAATTGAAGATTCAAGACAATTAGGTAACCAAGTAAGGAACCATGCTCAAATGCTTTCCATTTAAAAGTCTTGACAATCACTATTATTTAGAAGTGGCATGCTAAGATGGTGAAGTTTGTAGTCAGGACTGATATAGTAAAATTTCCCTCACACGCAATAGATATTTGATATCATTAAACTTAATAGTGGTTCCAATTGTGTAACAAGATTTGGAATCATTGAAAGGAAATTGTGAGATCATGTCTTCATTGAAAGAAAAGTGTTGGAATATAAGAAAAGAAACTTAATTTGTGATGGCGGAGAATACCTTAGAATGCTGGCAATTGTGATAGTAAGATAATAGGTTCAACATAGCCAATGAAATTAGTCACAATAGTGCTTTGTGCTGATTAGGGAACAATCGAGTTCATGAGCATGTGACAAAGTGTTGGATCTTGGATGAGGAAGAAACTCTTCTTGATATTCTTCTTGAATGAGAGACAGAGGGAAGGGAGGAGAGGGAGAGGAAAGAGCACAACTATTGGAAAGAAAAAGAACTAAATATTTATTCATTGGCTTATCACCTTATTACAAACTATAGCGTCTATATGTATAAACAAGCGCTACTTAGACTATCTCTAATCATGTTACGTGCGTATGCCGTTCATTGGCAGCTCCAATTAAATGCAAAACACTGGCAATTTCGCAAGTTGAACATAAAATTTGCT